TTTTTTTTTTTTAAAGAAGACATTATTTGTTTGAGCACTGACTTCTTAATTTAAGTCAAAATGCATCTTTGAACTTTGCATTTCGTCTTGACAAAATATTACAAATACAGCATTAGCAAAATGCTGCATTTTAGATGTGATGTGATGTGATCAACCGTTATTATTGAAAATGACACATTCTTGAGCCTATTATTTTACAGTTGCATCACCATTACTATCTTTATATCCCGTGTAAAAATAGTAAAAAGCACACTTTGCTCCCAGCACAATCTGCCCCTGTTTTTATTTTTTTGTGTCCAGTTATAAAACTAGCGAGAAGGCTGAGCTTATTCCCCTCGCCCTGCTCAGTGACAGCGTGCAGACAGACAGCCTCCTCAGCAGCTTGCAGCAGCAGCAGTTGGCCGCCTGTGTGGCGCTGTCCACACTGGTGGTGCTGAAACCAGCTCCGCTGCTCTCCCCCTCCTCTCGCTGTTTCCCACTACCTCTCTACGTCTCCCTCTGTCGCCCACCTCTATTTAGACAATATGAGTATTGCAAATACTAGAGATATATTTTGTTAATTCATTTGTACTGTTTTGTAGATGTTATAATGGATTATTTTACTACTTGTTGCATTGAATTTAGGCGTTCTGTACTTAAAATAATTTATGACAGCGCATGATAATTTGTTGAGGGATTTGGCATGTTATTTAGAAAAAAAAAACCTTTCATGATAGACCGGGTAACACTTGCTGGTATGTCGTTTAAGTCTCTAATATCCTAGAAATATGTGTGTGAGAGACTGAGTGAGAGAGGGAGAGAAGCAAAGCAAGAGTAAACGCCTTTCTACTCGTTCTGCGCTCCCCCCCTCCCTGTTCGCTTGCTCTACAGACCTCCATACGGGTACTTTACGTTTGCTGCTATCAGATTTAGGTCTCTGAGGCGTGCAGAGGGCTGTTGAGACGTAATGACGTCTGCAGGCTGCACTGGCTTTGTTTTGCCACAGGAAGGCAATGAAGAGCCTTGTCTGTTACACAGCCATGTGCATGCATGAAGGTACACACAGAGAACAGGAGAGATGGATTAACACAGATCAATAGATGAGTGATCTTGCAATGATCATTCCCTGAGTTACTTAATGGATACTGCATCTATAATCTCTTATATGCAGTTATTAATAAGCTATTGACTATATTATTATATAGTATGCTTAATGTATAATTATAATTAGAATCATTATATTTATGGTCTTCAAATACAAATTATAAAAACGGTTGTTGATGTTAAGGATCCTGTTTATTGACGAGGATGTGTTCATGAGGATTTTTCTGCTTCTCATTCTTTTACGTCATCATTCTGTAGTCCTTCACTGATGCCCCGATTGGTGGAAGTAGATATACTCAGTCCACCAATGACATCCATCGCTGTACAAAGAGATCTACTCCGTCTCACCGAGTAGCATCAGCCCCGTAACCGTTGCAATATTCTGCACAGGAGGAGAGGGATGCTTATGCAGACACAAAGCATGACTGTCTCTGATAGATCTGCGGACGCATCTACTTTGGATTATAAACCTTCTCTAAATCAGTTAAGGAGCAGGGACTTGAGTGAAAAGATATGGGATTCATGGAACGAGGAATAATGTGGAATAAACTGCGGACATGGCAGGTGTTTTTGTGGTTGTATCATTTCTTCCTATTGTGGAGTACAATAGACGGACAGACTCGCTACAGCATCCCGGAGGAGCTGAAACAGGGCTCTGTGGTAGGAAATCTCGCCAAAGATTTGGGTTTGGTTGTATCTGAACTGTATCGGCGTAAATTGCGGATTACATCGGAAGCTGGTAAGCAGTATTTTAGTGTGGACTTGGGCAAGGGAGAACTGGTGGTGATAGACAGGATAGATAGGGAGGAACTGTGTGCGCAAAAACCGTCGTGTTTGCTGCCTTTAGAACTAGTTATAGATAACCCCCTACAGCTGCACAGAGTGGAAATTGAAATACAGGACACAAACGATAATTCTCCTAGCTTTCTTACGAAAGAGAAGGTGGTGAAAATTGCAGAGCTGGTAAATCCAGGCGCTCGATTTCCGTTAGAAAGTGCCCAAGATCCTGATGTTGGCATTAATTCCGTGCGCTCTTATCTTATAAGCAAAAATGACAATTTTAAACTGACGGTTAAAAACCACAAAGACGGAAGAAAAATCCCTGAGCTGGTTCTTGAAAAACCGCTTGATAGAGAAAAACTGCCTGTGCACAACCTCATCCTCACTGCTGTAGACGGTGGAGATCCTGTGCGCTCAGGGACATCGGAAATTACAGTTGTAGTACTTGATATCAATGACAATGCGCCGCAGTTTGAAAGACAAGTGTACGAGACTAATGTAAGCGAAAATGCAAGACCTGGAACTGAAATATTGCATGTTAAAGCCACAGATGCAGACGAAGGACTAAATGGAGAAATTGAGTATTTTTTTGCAGAGCAAACTACCGATCTGATTTTATCATTATTTGATATTGAACCTTCTAGTGGAACTATTGTCGTTAAAGGAATGTTAGACCATGAAACAAACTCTTTGCATCGATTTGATGTAACTGCTAAAGACAAAGGCAATCCTGAGATGGATGGACATTGTGGCGTTGAAATCAAAATAGTTGACATAAACGACAACAATCCTGAAATAATTGTTACGTCTTTAACAACACCTGTCCCAGAAGATTCTGCAATTGGAACAGTTATTGCATTGATAAGCGCAAAAGACCCAGATTCAGGCGACAATGGCAAAGTTACATTAAGCCTATCTCCTAAATCTCCGTTTAAGTTAAATCCATCTGTCTCAAACCATTACTCATTAGTGACGAATGGGCCACTTGACCGTGAAAAAAATGACCGCTATAGTGTGAAGATAAGTGCCACTGATTCTGGAAAACCCCCACTGACGAGTGAAAAAGTCATACTTGTTGAGTTGTTAGATGTAAATGACAACCCACCAGTCTTCTCCCAGCCCTCTTATGTCGTTTATGTTAAAGAGAATCACGCTCCTGGGAATATTTTGTGCTCTGTGTCTGCAACTGATCCTGATGCGGGTGACAACGCCAAGATTTCGTACTCTATCCTGGACTCTAAGGTGCAGGACGTTTCTGTCTCCTCTTATGTTTACATCAACTCAGATAACGGCAGCATCTACAGCATGCACTCGTTCGACTACGAGAAGCTGAAGGTGTTTCAGATTCAGGTTCAGGCAAAGGACCAGGGCTCTCCGTCTCTGAGCAGCAACGCCACTGTCCATGTTTTCATCCTGGACCAGAAC